ACAGCCACTGGCAAGCATAGGAACCACATGGAAGGCTGAGGTAACACTGGTGGCTTGCATCATCACAGGATCAACTCTGACAAAAATTACTCAGGTTACTTTAGAAAAGTTGGTATGAGGCATGGCCACTTAAAGAGGAATCAGAGCTTCTGCCCCACTGTCAACCTTAATAAACTGGGGACCTTGGTCAGTGAGCAGACACAGGGTAAATGTTGCTAAAAACAGGAGTGTCTAATTATTGCTGTTGTGTGACTGGGCTACTACAAAGTTCTGGGGAATGAAGCTTCCAAAGCAGTATATCATTGTGAAGGTCAAATTCTTCAGCAGAAGAGCTGAGAAGAAGATTAAGGGTGTTGTTGGGGCCTGTGTGCTGGTAGCTTGAAGCCACAGAGAGGGGAGTTTATTAAATGCTCACAAGTGCAATATATACAGGGAACGTGCCTGGGTTGCAGACCAGATCCCCAGTAGGGGATGTGCAAGAGGCAACCACACATTGATGTTTCTCTCTCCCTCTCTTTCTCCCTCCCCTCCCCTCTCTCTAAAAATAAATAAATAAAATCTAAATTCCCCACCTTCTGTGTTCTTGCCCTTGGCTTAAGAATCAAAGTTGTCACAAACCCCCAAATTTCTTTTCTAACTTACTAAAAACTTCATATTTCTTTTTTAAAATATTTTATTTATTTATTTTTAGAAAGGGAAAGGAGGAAGAAAGAGAGAGAGAAATATCAATGTGTGGTTGCTGGGGGTCATGGCCTGCAACCCAGGCATGTGCCCTGACTGGGAATCGAACATACGACACTTTGGTTTGCAGCCCGAGCTCAATCCACTGAGCTACACCAGCCAGGGCTAAAACTTCATATTTCTTAGTTCCAGTAAAACCCCCACAGAATCCTTTCCAGGTCAATGATTCTTAAATTCATAGCTATTTCTGTGTGTAAAAATCTCTAGATCTAGAGATAAATCACCTAATCCAGGCACTTCTCTTCATAGTTAGTAGACAAAGATTTGATGGCACTTGCCTCTATCAGCAAACTGAGAGCCAGAGACTTAGTAAAGTAATAAGTTGGTGAGATTTTCTAAATCATATACGTAGATTGAGAGTACACATACGTAGGTTGAGAGCTTCTATTCTATGTGTCTGACATCTCCCTAATTATTTATGTAACAATTATATACCATGATGATGATAAATTATTTAGAAACTATAAACCACGATGGTAATAATAGTAACCCAACTGTCTAAGACCATTCATATATTTACAAAATTTTGTGAATGTAAATTACATTTTTTAATATCTTAGTATGTAAACACTTTGTCAGAATGCAAATATTTTAACAAAAAAGTTTTTATTTTATTTAAATCTGATTTCTCCCCTAGTTTTCAAGAGGTAAAACAACTAAATGGCTTTTCAAAAGTTATGCATATTTAAAATGCTACTGGACTTCCAGTTAAGATGGAGGCATAGGTATACAAGGCTCATCTCCTCACACAACCACAGCAAAAATTACATGAAGATTACAAAACAAATATCACCCAGAATCATGAGAAAATTGAGCTGTATGGAAGTCTGACAAGGAATTAAAAAAACCATATTCACCCAGATGGGTAGGAGAGGCAGAGACGCAGACAGGTGCAGAGAGGCATGGAGACACAGAGAGGTGCATAAAGGCATGGAGATATGGAATGGGCAGTCCCACACCCACATGTGATGGAAAAAAATTGGGAGGGATACATCAAGAGCGAGGGATTCCAACCCAACACCAGACAACCCAGCCCAGGGTTCCAGTGCCAAAAAGGTAAGTCCTTATAACTTCTGGGAAAAACTAATGGGGGTTGGAGCAGAGGAAGAAACTGCAGGACCCTTAGGAGTCTCCTCTTAAATGGCCTGCAACAGACTTAGGACTTATACAAATTCAAAATACAAAATCCCTCTGGGCTTCAGCACCAGGCAACAGCTGAAAGGGTATAAGTGTCATATGGGGAGAAGGTCAAATGACTGGCATCAAGGTGAGTGCCAGGAGACAGTTTCCTCCCAGATAAAACTCCAGAGGCCAGGCAACAGCCAGTGTCCCTTTTCTGAGCCCACAGAGCCACAGAGTGATGCCATGCTTTGCCCCACTATGGCTATTACCTAAGGCTTTGTACCACACAATTTACAGGTGCTTTTTCTACAATAGACAACACTGATAAGACAGGGTGTCAAAGCAGCTCTGCCTAATATACAGAAAAAAACACGAGGAGGCTGCCAAAATGAGGAAACAAATAAATATGGCCCAAATGAAAGAACAGATTAAAACTTCAGAAAAAGAAATAAACAAAATGGAGATAAGCAATCTATCAGATGCAGAGTTCAAAATATTGGATATTAGGATGCTCAGGTAACTCATTGGTTACTTCAATGGTGTAAAAAAGACCCAGGTAGAAATGTAGGTTACACTAAGTGAAATAAAGAAGAATTCAGAGAGAACCAAAAGTTGAGGGGGTAAAGTCAAGAATCAAATGAATGATTTGGCACATAAGGAATAAAAAGATATTCAATCAGAAGAACAAGAAAAAAAAAACTACAAAAAAAAGAGAAGAAAAACCCAAGGATAGAATAAGGAACCTCTGGAACATCTTCAAATGTACCAACATGCAAATCATAAGGGTGACAAAAGGAGAAGAGGAAGAGCTAGAAATTGAAAACTTATTTGAAAAAAATAATGAAAGAAAACTTTTCTAATTTGGTGAAGGAAACAGACATGTAAGACCAGGAAGCACAGAGTCCCAAACAAGATGAATGTGAAGAGGACCACACCATGACACGTCATAATTAAAATGCCAAAAGTTAAAGATAAAGAGAGAATCTTAAAAGCAGCAAGAGAAAAGGAGACAGTTACCTACAAAGGAGTCCCCACAGGACTATCAGCTGATTTCTCAAAATAAACTTCGCAGGCTAGAAGGGACTGGCAAGAAGTATTCAAAGTGATGAAAAGCAAGGACCTACCACCTAGATTGCTCTATCCAGCAAAGCTATCATTTAGAATGGAAGGACAGAAAAGTGCTTCCCAGACAAGGTAAAGTTAAAGAAATTCATCATCACCCAGCCCTTATTATATGAAATGTTAAAGGGACTTATTTAAGGAAAAAAATAAGATCAAAACTATGAATATCAAAATGGCATCAAATTCACAACTATCAACAAATGAATCTAAGAAACAAACTAAGCAAGCAAGCAGAACAGAAACAGAATCATAGATATGGAGATCATTTGAAGGGTTATCAGTTGGGAGGGGGAAGAGGGAGAGTGGGGGAAAAGATACAGGGATTAGGAAGTACAAATTGGTAGTTACAAAACAGACAGGGAGATATTAAGAACAGTATCAGGAATTGGAGTAGCCAAAGAACTCATATGCATGACCCATGGACATGAACTAAGCAGGGAATTGCAGGAGGAAATGGGGGTTACTAGGTAGAGAGGTAAAGGGGGAAAAATTAGGACAATTGTAATAGCGTAATCAATAAAATATATTAAAAAATAAATAATAATAAAATGCTATCTTGCCTTTACTTGAATCCAGGAACCTAAGCAGTAATATACCACAAACCAGTCTTCCAATAGATATGACCCTCAAAACTATGTGGATTAGCTTTGATAGTGATCCAGCAGATTAACTGCTGACAGCACAAACCACCAATCCTGTCCTATAATGTCAAGAACCTTCTCAACATATTGAGTTTTCCAATGCAGACATTTGCTATACCTGCTCTTTGAATTTTTAAGTACCAGTGTATCATAATTTTTGGCTATCTGAAAAGGCTCAGAGAAGCACTTAATGATCTAATAAGTCTTGTTTTGTCTTTAATGAATATGATTTCTTGTGATCATAAAAATCCCACATATGGTCACTTGTGCATAATCTGTTCATCCAAAGGCATTCCTACTCTACACTATACATAGCATTAGATGTGACTAGACAAACATTCATCTACCAAGACGTTCAAGCTGTTTTATTTCAGCATTGTGCTGCTAACACAGTAGTTTTCAAATAGTAGTGAACTGAAGGAAGTTTGAATAAATGGGTTACTTAGCTATTGAGTGGAAAAGGTGAGAATCATATCCATCCTCCTAAGTACTGTATAATACAGTTAAAATTCATGCAGTAACAAATTTCAGGTATTACACAGGTCAATTTTAGAGCCAGTTTTTTTTTCATTACATGTATGTAAGAATTAACTCCTAATTACTTTAGAGCTCAGGAAAACAGCAGAGCTGGCACGTAAGTGAGAGATTACAAAGGAACCAGCACTTTCATCATTACTAAAACATGAGATTTCTTACATTTGGTATATAGGAAAACTATAAGATTAATTTTAGATATACAGTCACCTTTCTTTCACCTTACATATTCACCTTAAAACTATGCACTGACCATATTCCCTTCTTAAAAGCTGACCTAATGATATGTAAGCTGTTAAAACTTCAATCAAAATATTTTATAAATGCAATACACTAAGTTAACATTTAAACAATTCTTGCCACATTTATCCATTTATTTAATGCATAAATTTCATAGTCATTAGCAATGAAAAAGCAAAAGAGTAAGCTGCTTTTTAAAAATATTTATTTATTTTCAGAGAGAGGGTAAGTGAGGAAAAAAGAGAGGGAGAGAAGCATTAATGTGTGGTTGCCTCTCACATGCCCCCCAGAGAGGACCTGGCCCACAGCCTAGGCATGTGCCCTGACTGGGAATCGAACTGGCAACCCTTTGCCTTGCTGACCCACACTCAGGCCACTAAACTGAACCAGCCAGAGCTAAGCGGCTTTTCTAATAAATAAGTGACTGACTTCATAAAGGATAGCTTTGGTATTGTTGCCTTAAATTTGTTTTAACTTTATGAAACACTAGTACGCTTCTATTATGGTCTGATTATTTCTCATTCCAGTGCATTTAACAATGCTAGAGCACTGATATGAATGATAATTGGAAACAATGAGGAAACACAGCAATGGTCCTACCTTAGTTAGGTGAATGACTCCTTTGGAAGTAACTGAACAGCCCATGAAGCCCACATACCGAAGTTCAGGACAGTGCTCCGCAAATGCTTTCACTGACTGATCTGTCACCTAGGGAAGAGGCAGGAAGAAAGTTATTCAAGGTGGCGTTCAAGTGGATTTAAGGGTTAGGTTCCTCAAATTCCATCTGCCCAACCTGCCTTAATAATATTCTCCTATCCATTAGATCATGTGAATCCCTTTACAGACATGCTGCATTATCTCTTGTGGGTTTTCTTTGAAGTCCTCCCTTCACCCCACATGTCTTCTATCACCCCATGTTTTTCCACTACATAGAAAAAATCTCAAAGATGTCAATACTATCTACTTCTACTTCTTCATCTCCCTCTCTCAGGAGATATATTTTATTGATATATAATTCACATACTATAAAATTCACCTTTTCAAAGAGTACAATTCAGTGGTTTTTAGTATATTCACAAGGTTGTATAACCATCACCAATACCAAATTTCAGAACACGTTCATCACTTTAAAAAGAAACCCGATCCCCATTAGCAGTCACTTCCCCATTCCATCCCCTGTCCCTGGCAACTTTCTGTCTCTACTGATTTGCCTAATCTAGAGATTTTTTACAATTAAAATTATACAATTGGTTTCTAAAATGCAACGATGATTTCGTCTTATGTTTCTCCCTTCAAGTGTTTCTTCCAAGAAATCTAGTTTTGCCCCTGACTGCTTCAAATTCTTCAGATTTCAAAGGTATAATATTAATTGTATTTATCAACTTTACCATGCCATGAAGTGCCCATATATTTGGTTAAACCTGTTTCTGGGTGTGTCAATAAGGGTGTTTCTGGATGAGATTAACATTTGAAAAGGTAAAGCAGACTGCCCTCCTCAATGTGGGTGGGGATCTTATCCAACCCACTGAAAGTCTGAATGAAACAAAAAGACTAAATAAGAATTTGTTTTCTCTTTCTTCTCTCTCCTTCTCTCTCCCACCCTTCCTGCCCCCTCTATCTCTCCCCTGAACTATCTTTGAGCTGGGACAGTAATCTACCTTTGGTCTCAAACTCATACTGGAACTTATACCATCAGCTCTCCTGGTTCTACCAGGCTTCTTGTGTCTCCAAATTAACCAACTGCAGACTCTGGGCCTTCTTGGCCTCCATAATTACATAAGTCAATCCCTTACAACAATCTCCTTATATACACACACACGCACTTCATAGTAATTCTGTTTCTCTGGAGAACCCTGACTAATGCAATACATACTAGAATCCCCTGAAGAATTTATTAAAAACTCAGAGCCAAAACGAGTGAGGCCCAAAGATCAGTATTTTTAACAATCCCCTCAGTGACCCTCAGGCATGTGACACCTTGAGGCCTCAGTGCTGTGAAGAAGTTACACTGACAGCTTTTGGCACAGGTGCCTGGCCCCACTTTATTTAAACAAAGGGCAGGATGAAATTCCTTTTTTGTTTTCCCCCACTTTGAAAAATTCCATGTACAAAAGTATCTTCTTATAATTGTGCCAACATTTTCTTCACTGCTCCACAAAGATGTAGCTTATAAAAGGAGGTCCAAATATTCTCTATCACAGGCTTACTTTCATCTTCTTTTCCCTCATAGTCAAGATGAAATCCAGTTGAACAATTTCTTCAGTTTTTTAAACAGCAGCAACTTATGTCTCCTTTGCATTAACTTTAATGTTGGTGAATCTTATTTTGTTTCTTCCTTATCCATTCTGAACAGGTATTGGAAAATAAAGGTGTGTAGGGAACATTAATTCTAAAACAACACAAGTGCATTTTCCTAAAACCAACAGCATCCATGGTACATCTGATAAAAGATTAATTCTGCCCTCACAAGTCAAGTATGCTTTAGCATATTAAGAGTAAGGGTGCCACTGATAAATAAAAAATGGGCCTTCCTGACACTCAGCTTTCTAAAACAATATTATGTTAACAAAGAATATTTAAGGCACTAAAATTGCCTGAAGCTTCAATGAAAACCAATTGTTGTTTTAAAAAGTGAGTGGGGGGAAGTAACAGAACCTCAATAACAAATAGTTGATTAAATGCCCTAGTCCAATCTCTAACATCAAGCCTTTCATATATCTACCTTCAAGGAACTCAGCTAAGGATTAAGGACACAAGAAAAAGCTCAGGTCTAAGGTATCAGAGCTTTAAGAGAAGAAACAGGATATTAAAAATTGGCTTGGTGGCTCTTTCTCTTTCAGCTAAAGCAATCAGAGTAAGAGAGCTCGGTCTCCAGCATCGACAGGCTTATAGGCCAAACAAGACAACAGTAAGTCTTTGGGGTATAGAAACACTCTCAGAGTAGGTATGGGTATGTGTTTTTTGGAGACTAATAAAAGGGCCTTGAGTTTGCATGGGGTTTGGCTCCATTTCCAAAGATACAAGATCAGCTAGGAATTTGGGGCTAAAGGTCTGACAGAAACAGAGACTACAGAAGGCAAGTGCTGGTTAGTGTCAGCTTCTCTGGGACCCTGGGATCTGATTGCCTCTTTTCAAGTCCCCGCTACACCACTTACACTGGCTGTGTGATTTTGAGCAAGTCCTTGCACTTCCTATACTTTGTTCTATAATATGGAAGCAATAAAAGTACCTCACAAGGTAGAGAGTAAATAAGATATGCAAAATGTTATATTTTATTATCATTAAAATGCATAATTAAAGCATGGTAGTTTCATCTAGCTACCCCAAAGGATTCTAATCATAATTTGGGGGCTAGGTTATAGGCTAAACTGTGAGGTGTGATTGAGGGAGACATAAGTGGAAGCTAGTTATTGTACCATTACAGTAAAGAGAATCCCATTTGTTAAGGTTCTCAAGCTGGCTGCACATCAGAATCACCTGAAGAGCTTTCTGATTTAACTTCTGGGTGAAGGTCTGCATCAGTTTTAGAACATCCCGGAGGAAATTCTAACATGTAGCCTGGATTAGAAACAAGTTCTAAGGCTTTCATACAAAGCATGGTCCCCAGATCAGCAGCGTTGGAGTCAACTGGAGGGCTTGTTGAACTGAAAAATCTCAGACTCCACCATAGACCTATGGAGTTCTGAACTGCAGTTCTAGTGCATGGGATGACACTCCAACCAACTGAGCCACATTGCCAAATTGGTAAAGAAATACTTTTATTCAACAAAAGTATTTTTTATTCCTCTCCGTCCCCCACCTGCTGAGTTTGGGCACTCTGTCTTTACTTATTTATTTTTATAAATTTTTTAAAAAATTGTTGTTCAAGTCCAGTTTTCTACTTTACTTTTTTGATAAATATTTGAATTGCTTTCAGTTTGGGACTTTGATAAATAATGCTGCTGTGATCATTCACATACAAATCTCTGTGTGGACATATATCCTCATTTCTCTTAAGTAAGTATCTAGGAGTGGAATTGCTGAGTCATGTGGTGAATGTAAGTTTAATTTTTTATACAATTTTTAAGTTGGGTTTCCTCTCTTAAGTTGTAAGAACTCCTTCTATATCTTGGATACAAGCCTTTTATCAGATACTGGTTTCACAAATATTTTCTTCTGTTCTGTACTATTCTATTGTTCATTTCATGGTGCTAATCTCATTTCAATGTCACTGAAAATTCAGGGCCTTCCCTTCAGCCCCAGAGAAGAAGGGATCAGGCAAAATGTATATACTTTTTAAACTAAAGAATTTTCTAAAAGTGCTACCCTTGATTACTATTTTCTTTCTTTTTTAAAATATATTTTACTGATTATGCTATTACAATTGTCCCATTTCCCCCCTTTATTCCCCTTTGCCCTGCACACCCCCTCCTACCTGCTTTCCCCACCTTTAGTTCATGTCCATGGGTTGTACATATAAGTTCTTTGGCTTCTACATTTCCTATACTATTCTTAACCTCCCCCTGTCTATTTTCTACCTACCACTTATGCTACTTATTCTCTGTACCTTTTCCCCCTCTCTCCCCCTCCCACTCCCCTGCTGATAACCCTCCATGTGATCTCTATTTCTGTGATTCTGTTCCTGTTCTAGTTGTTTGCTTAGTTTGTTTTTGGTTTGTTTTTTTTTTAGGTTCGGTTGTTATTAGCTGTGAGTGTGTTGTCATTTTAGTGTTCATACTTTTTATATTCTTTACTTAGATAAGTCCCTTTAACATTTCATATAATAAGGGCTGGGTGATGATGAACTCCTTTAACTTGACACTATCTGGGAAGAACTTGATCTACTCTCCCACTGTAAATGATAGCTTTGCTGGGTAAAGTTATCTTGGATGTAGATCCTTGCCTTTCATGACTTCAAATACTTTTTTCTAGCCCCTTCTTGCCTGCAAGGTTTCTCTTGAGAAATCAGCTGATACTCTTATGGGAACTCCTTTGTAAGTAACTCTCTTCTTTTCTCTTGCTGCTTTTAAGATTCTCTTCTTATCTTCAATCTTGGGTAATTTAAGTGTAATGTGCCTTGGTGTATTCCACCCTGGGTGCAACATCTTTAGGACTCTCTGAGCTTCCTGGACTTCCTGAAAGTCTATTATCTTTGCCAGATTGGGGAAGTTCTCTTTCATTATCTGTTCAAATAAGTCTTTAATTTCTTGGTCTTCCTTTTCTTCTTCTGGCACCCCTATGATTTGGATGTTGGAACGTTTAAAGATGTCCTGGTGTGGCAGGAAAAGAAAAACTCCAAAAGTTCCTCTGTAACTGTAACATTTGCAAAATTTCACACAGAACTGTAGAAGCTGACCAGTCCTAACCAAGGCAACAGCCAGTTTATCTGAAGGTCGTACACTAACTCCCATGATAAGCTCCTGTGCTCTGTAGCTTCTGCAAATTTCCTCCTGCGCTTTTTCTCTTTTGTCTCCCATATAAGGTAGCTAGACTTAACTTCCGCATTTAGCTTCTGTAACCTTGCTTCGCCATGTAGGCAGGAAGCCCAGGACTATTTAAACCCCGGGAGAGTGAAGATCGGGGCTCAGGATTTGGGGAAATTAACCCCGCCCCTTGAGCCCCCAAGTAGTAAAGTTTGTGCTTTGTTATCTCCCCGAGAGTGGATGGATTTTCCACAACACTGGAGGTTCCTAAGTCTCTCCTCATTTTTTTGAATTCTTGTTTCTTCA